AGCTTCGCGCCTCCACCGCCACGTCGAAGGAAACCTGGCGGGGCGGGTTGAGATGGCCATTAACACACTGAAGCGCTGGGGTTACACCCCCAGCCTTGAACGAGGGTTGGCACAGGCATGATGTCCACAACCAGGCACGGAAGACCCTCCTGACTGGTTTTCACCCGGGGTCTGGCTAGCCGTGGTTGGGAACTGATTAGGAGATCACCACTAGGTGCCCCTGCCTTCCACATTAACTTTGAGGTGGTGCAAGAAGCCACCTCTGTAAGAACTGACTCTGCCTGCAGTGCAGTTGGGTGGTCTACCCACACAGTGTATGTGCTGTGTAGGGTTCTGGCTATTGAAAGGGCTCCCTGACTCTTCATAGCAAGTGGAGCTCTCAGGATGGTGGGGCAAGATGATGAGTCTCTCTCCTGTCAGTTACTATAGGATCAGGATCAGACTGATCACCTGGGTCCTTCCATCTACCATGGCATGGTTCTGGAGTCAGCTCACTCCCTTCTGCACATCCTATGCTGTGACTGAATGTATTGAATTATTCCCCCTTCCAGTAGTCCAGGATGTTGGATTGTTTGTGTATGATTTAAGAGTGGGGGGAGGACTTTGGCTGCTAGTTTGCCTGTCAATGATACTATCCACTATCTTTCTATGTTGGGCAAGCGGTCAGCAGAAAAGGTGGGAACTGTTTAGGAGCTCACCACCAGGTGCCCCTGCCCTCTACATTAACTTGGAGGCAGGGCAAGAAGCCACCTCTAAAAGACCTGACTCTTCTTGCAGTGGAATTGGGAGGTCTGCCTACACAGTGGATGTGGAATTCTGGTTATTGAAAGGACTCCCCAACTCTTCACAGCAAGTGGCGTTCCCAGGACAACAGGGAAAGATCATGAGGTTTCCATCTGGGAAACTACTACCCAACTGGACTCATCACCTGGCTGATTCTATCTCCCACGGCATGGTTCCTTGGCCAGCTCACTCCCTTCTGCACATGTGTCACAGTGAGTGAGTGCATGGACTTGTTCCTCCCTCTGGCTGTCTGGCACTTTGGGTCTCTGGTGTGTGATGTAGGGTGCAGAGGGAGGAGTTTGGCTGCTGGTTTGCCTGTTACTAATAATATCCTTCTACATCAGACAAGCAGTCACAAGAAGACATGCATCGCCCTGAAATAGCTGTCAAGGGTGTCCCAGGAAGGAAGGCAGAAGCAAAGGGCCAATGTCCCAAGGAAAAGCCATGGAGAAATTCCCCAGAGCAGGGCCAAGCTCAGTGCATTGAGCTGCACTCCAGGCGTGCAAAAATCCCCCCAAAATTGCATGTCTAGTGTGGGCATCTGCAACTCTGACACCTGCCAGTGCCGTGAGGGGTCTGGCATCCTCAACTTTTTAAAACTCTTTACTGTCAGCCACTAACAATAATTTTCCCCATCAGGCATTGATTACTGTGAAGCAGGAAGGAATCTCCCTATTCCTGAAATAAAGAGGGTAAATAGCCCAGTTTTCATGTTATTAAAAATAATAAACTCTGCTGAAACCAAGCGTTATCTCACCAATGCAACACAAGGGCCTGAGGTGCCTACAAGATCACAGGTTTAGAAGGTTTTACGGGAATCCTGATCTGCACATAGAGATGTGAATCAGTCACACACTCCCCAGCTTTCAGCACACTGCTAACAGGCCATTTTTGATGGATGTTTCTATTATGATTTGCTAGTTGGGGTCAGCTGCCCTAGCCATGCTTCCTCCCAGGTTTTTGAGCACCTGCTCATTGGCAGAGCATGGGCAATTGAAAAATCTTTAACTTAGGATAAGCACTACTTAGCAACAACTAAAACACTGGTATGTTATTAACATTTTTGTCACACTAAATCCAAAACACAGATACTAGGGAGAAAATCAGCTACCCCAACAGAAAGCAAGACTAAGGGCCATACATCATTATATGGTTATACATCTCCCCCCACTCCTTTTCTGTTGCTACAATCCAGTGTCAGGGATTTTCTCCCTGGGAAAACCAAAATCGTCCTATGGCCCCCTGCCTGGCCCCCAGTTTAATCCTGCTGTTTGCTGGGGGTCTCAGGCCAGCCAGTGCTGCTCAGAGCTGCTGGTTAGCAAAGAGGATTAACCTTACTCCAAGGAAACAGGCCTCTTTTGTAGGCACCAGGAGGGAATGAGTTTTCTCTGGAGATATTTGGGGTTACCTCGACCTGTCACTGTCTGCACCGTCCCACATGCCAAGGGGTGTGACCTGCAGACCACCTCCCACCAGGAGAGCTGCACCCTGAGGAAACCTCCCTTGATCCCCTCCCATTCACAAGGCCTGAAGCAATTAGGCAACAAGCTCAAATTACAGAGGAGGAGATCAGGAAGCAAGCTAAGGAGATCAGGTTAATCCTGCTCCCTTTCACCTGCTGGCAACCACGGTCCAGGGACTAAACTCTAGCAGATTAAGACCCAGTGCCAGTCTTATCCTCTTTGGGGAAACTTTCTTAGCAGGAGTCAAATCTTGATCCATGTGGAACAAATGGGGAAGGGAGCAGCTGAATAAGAGGGGCCAGCACGACAGGATCCTGATAATCCTGTGGCACATCTGCCTGTGCAGGCACCTTGATACTGAGGTGCACCTAAAATGGGAGAGGTACCAGTGTTGTCTCCCTGCTTTACAGCCTGAGCTGCAGTGGCTGGAGCAACCCCCTTGTGCTCATGTCAAAGCTGGGAGCTCAGGATCAACCACCAGATTAACTGCTCAGACTTTTTGCTGTGGGAACAATGAGGGCATGTGCAACACTACCAGGATTGCTTTTACTTGCCCTTTGGAGATCCATAAAAGTCAGCTAAAAAAGCAGAGGCCTCCTCCCTCTTTAACACTTCACATGATCCTTATTTGGCTGGGTAAAAATCCAGCTACTGTTGACTCTTTCAGACTATTTTTATATGCCTCGGTGTTTAGAGCCCTGGTACGTTTGCAGAGTCACCCTTCTCAAATAAGGCCATCAGGCTGCTAATGAGCCCACACCCTGGCAGGCAGCAGGAGCCTGGAGAAGGGGAGGAGTCCCTGCTGGTCTGAGCCCTTCTGTCCCAGCTTTGCAGCCCAGCAACTCATTTATCTGTATCAACATTCTGTTTAAACAAGCAAAGCTTAGCTTCTCTGCTTTTTTTATCAAAAAGCACAGGATGGATTTTGCCATGCTACTAACATTAAGGGGCATACTATATTTTTAGTCCATGCTGCCATCCAGTAACCATAGGAATTGAACACACAAGAGGAAGAGGAGGGTTGTGGCCTTTCTGAACACCTTGTCTTTTTCTGCAGTACCTCCAAAGTTAATCAGGACCTCTTCACTCCAGGAAACAGAGGTTTACATTAGAATCATAGAATCATTTCTGTTGCAAAAGACCCTTAAGATCACTGAGTCCAGTCATAAACCCAGCACTGCCAAGCCCACCACTAAACCATGTCCTTAAGCGTCACATCTACACATCTTTTAAATACCTCCAGGGATGGTGAATCAACCACTTCCCTGGGCAGTGTGTTCCAATGCTTGACAACCTTTTTGGTGAAGAAATTCTCCTAATACTCAATGTAAACCTCCCCTGGTGCAACTTGAGGCCATTTCTTCACATCCTATTGCTTGCTACCTGGGAAAAGAGCCTGACATCCACCTCACTACAACCTCCTTTCAGGCAGTCACAGAGAGTGATAAAGACTACTCCAAGCCTCCTTTTCTCCTGATTTCCCTCAGCTGCTCCTCATAACACTTGTGTTCTAGACCCTTCAGATCCATTGCCCTTCTTTGGACATGCTCTAGAAACCTCAATGTCCTTCTTGTATTGAGGAGCCCAAAACTGAACACAGTGCTCAAGGTGCAGCTTCACCAGTGCCGAGTACCAGGGGATGATCACTTCCCTAGTCCTGCTGGCCACGCTACTTCTGATATAAGCCAGGATGGCAACACAAGCCAAGATTCTCAATAACAAGAAAACCTTCAATATTTAATGGACCATGAAAAGATCAGCAGCCCACAGCAATAAAAATTTCACAGGTGAGAGTGTGATGTAAATAGCTGGGATTACAGGAAGAAAAAAGCCCATTCCTGACTATTGTGTCCTTAGCAGGACCTTCAGTCTCAGGGTGCTGTATTCCCCATTTCCTCCTAGCTGACCCTGGGCTGATCTATACCACCCAGAGCCACTTTCAGCAGAAGCACTCTCTGTGGGTGTCTATATTAATATGGCACAGCATGAGGAGAGCAGAGGAAGATGAGCAAAACTCTATTTTATCGCTCAGGACCACTCAATGAGAGGTAAGAGGCTGCATGAGGGAAAAACAGCCTCTCCAGGGGACAGACCAAAAGGCAGACTCACCGTATCTCCTATTTTAAGATCCCCACACTTCCTGAGCCCAGGATAGGACAATCCATCCTGACATGTGGCAGTGAAGGTCAAGCCAATGTCCTCAGGGCTGTCCCAGACTGTGAGCTCCACCTTGGACCGAATGCTCTAGAAACACAACAAGAAAGCAAACTGTCAAGTTCCCAAAGGCAGGTGGGTTTCTGCTGTTTTAGTCTCTCCTCCCGATGTTTCCAGACATCTCTGCATCTGTATGAAAAAAAAATCACCCCTGCACACACTGACATTTGGGGTTGACTTAACCATCTCAGGAGAATTCTGATGAACACAAACAGGCTCACAGGGAGCTGACCTACAACTCCTGCAGGTGGCCTATGTCCTCTAGGACGAGTGTGATGACCACTGGAGCCAGCACTGAAAAGATATGGATATGTGAGAAAGGAAAAAAATTCTTGATCACAAATGGAACATCTGTGAGCCAAAGGTCAGAGCCTTGTGCACCTCTTCATCCCCACAAACCACCCCCTTAGCAAAGTGCAAAGCCTGATCCTCCACTGGCCATCATCCTATGACGTCCGTCATACAGCACAGAGAAGGTGTAAAACGGCACTAACTCCATCCTGCTTTCTTGATTCCACCCAGCTGCTGAAAAATACACATTTTCCTTCCTAGGAAAAAACAAAAACAACCAAACAAAAAGTACCCTTTCGGATGCATCAGCTGGAAATACTACCAGGGGAAGAAATAAAAGAAAAATCTTTTTCTTTGTAAAATTTTTCAAAAATGAAAAACATTTTCCATCAACAAGGTTTTGTTCTCCTTCTACCCCCTTTATTCTTCTCATCTCTCCGCCCTGCTGCACCCACAGACTTTTTAAGTCAAAACAAAATGAAGTTTATAAGTGTTAAGTCAGAGTAAGGTTGTTTTGTTTAATACTTCCAATGGCTGGAACAGATTTTTTTAGGAGTGATGTCCAAAAACAACAAAGGTTTTCAAAATAGAGATTTTTACACAAATACAATTATTTTCCAAAGCTAGCCTGCAGCTCTGTCCCTCTCCCCCTTTTCCCCAACGCTATCCCCAACCCACAACGTGGCCAGATGCAGGAAAAGTGCTAATTCAGACCTCTTGCCAGTCCCTGTGATAACAAAACCAGAGTTCACACGCCAGCAAAGAGCTAACATTTTTGGAAACAGGCAGGAAATAAGTGAGTTTTGGCTTGGTGATTCTAAACAGCCCTTGAGGAAAGAAAGGAACATTTCCCATCTCTCTGCTATAACAGAGGAGCCGTTCACGGGGTGGCAATGTAGAGCATCCCTTGGCTGCAGGCTGACCACCACACATGGTGGTTAAGCTGAACATACTGCTCTGCCCAAAATCATCCTGTAGGCATCGGCTGCCTGATAACGCCTGCTCATCTTCCTGCTCAGAGCATCTCTTCTGGGACATGGCAGCAGACAGGCCACCAGGCCAGCATTTGGTATGACCTTGCATGGGTCCTTCCTATGTTCTTACACAGATGTCAAGGTTTCTTATTTGCCCTATATGGTAATGCAATTAGCTTAATTGTAATGCTATTATTATTAGCCACTTTGTGCCGTTTCACAGCAATACCTCCTCACAGCACCACTACCACCGCTAAGGGCTACTGCAGGCTTTGCTGCTGTCTTATTTGGGGGCTCCCAAGCCTCCTGCAACTTCAGGGACAAGCGTGGGATGCTGGAGGGACCTAGAGGAAGAACCTGGCCTGAGGTGGAGCAATATCTCTGCCCAAAGTAAAGCTGTTTGCTATATCCCTAGGAAAACTCAAAAGGCTGGATCATTTCAGTGTAAAAACAAGGAAATCCTGATCTGGCAGCAGCTTTGGGGATGGCTGATGTGAAGGCCACCTGCCACGGGAAAATCATGGGTGGTGTAATGAGAAACACATCCAAGACTTGCCGGGATTTGGTTTAAGAAAGCAGTTTTAAAAACAGCGTTCCATTTGCTCCTTTCAGTCCAAACCCAGCTGGCACGGCTGGGCAGAAACCCCCTGGTGATGTCCCAGCCCAGGCACAGCCCCCCCTGGAGCCTTTCCACCTCCCAGGTGTGTCAAGATTTGGAAGAAGGGTTTTTTTCTTAGTGAGGGTAGGGAGAAAAAGCAGCCCTCCTCTTTTGCTTCACACCCTGTGGGATGAAGGACAGGTGACAGTACATCAGGTGGTGGAAAATGGGAGATGGAAGGTGAAGAGATGGGTGAAAGGGATCTTGGGGATAATGTAAGCCCTGAGCAAGTCTGATGGACACACTGGTGGAGACAAGCAGAAGAGAGAGTATCAGAGACAGTCCAGCACTGAAGGGGATGCGCTGAGCCCAGGCCCGAGCAGCAGCCACTGCCACTCCACAGGAGAAGATGGTTCCTGCTGCATGTGAAGGGTTTCTCCAGGCTCAGAGTTTCCTTTCCATGAGGAATAAAAAAATGTTCACTCCCCCTTGGGAAACAGAAATTTTAGCCTTCTCCCTCAGTGAGAATTTCCTCCTCCATTTCAGGAAAAAAAACAAAGCTACCAAGAGGACACGGGCTGGGTGGGTGCCAGGTTTCCTGCAGCCCCAGGCTGCCCACAGCACAGGCAGGAGCTGCCAGCTCCCACCAGCATGACCAAGGGTCCTAGCCCACACCCACCACCAGCTGAACAGACAAGAAACCAGCCCTGGTCTCAGCAGCAGATCACCCCACACAGCTCTTTCTGTGGGGCACCTTGACCTCAGCATCCTTGTGCTTTCCAGCCAGCTGCACTGGAAAGCTCACAAGCAAAGAGGAGGGAGCAGGGGTGGGTGCATCAGATCCCCAGTGGTTTTTATCAGCTTCTATCTATCTGCAAAGGCTCGAGGGGTGATGGAGGTATGCATGTTACAGCTGACAATCTGAGGCAAAGAGAGCTTTTTCATGGGATGGTGCTGAGACTACACGCAAAGACAACGTGGAGAGAACGTTCATTTCCTTCTGCCCAGTGAAGCATCTTAGCCATAAGTCCTCAAGGGGACAAACTGAGACAACTGGGCTTTTGTTCTGCAGTGTCTCCAGGGCCCCATTAGCAGCATTAGCTGCTCACTGCTGCTCCTCAGAGGGTGAAGCTTTGGGAAGGACTCTTCCCAAGGGCATAACCAAAAGTTGCTTTAATTGGAGGGAGCTGTGGGGAAGCAAAGGTGAATGTTACAGGTCATGTAACCTACATGAGGTCCTACGTGACCTCTGACAGTGTAAACTCCTCCAAAGAAGCCCTTCCTCGCTCCCTGGCACTAATGAGCATAGTTCCAAGAAGACCTTGCAGCCATTAGAAGCTGTGTTCACAGGTCCCACGCATGAATAACCCTACCTGAAGGCTGACTCATTATGAGGCCAGATCTCCATGCCCAGCACCAAAACAGCAATATCCATCCAGCAGCACAAAGTGCTGACCCATTAGAATTCAGGGGGAACTGTCAAAAGAAATGTTGACAGCTGACTACCCAACAAGCATGCAATTTAGCTGCTTCTAATTGATCTGCTCCCTTGATCTCCATGGAGATGGATAATATCAGGTCAGCAGTACAACTGCAGGTCCTTTGTTGACATCCATGGTCCCCGTTGCAGCAGGGCAGGCTGCACTGGCAACACCACATAGGCAGGGCTCCTTTGGGACCCAAAAGACTTGGTGATGGTCATGGGGCACTAAGGATCAACTTGTGCTGCACAGAGACCAACACAAGGATGTGACCTTAGCTGGAGCCTGGTCATGTCCTTAGGAGCAAAGAAATAATCTATTTTATCTACTGGTACTGTGGTCTGAGAGAGAATTATTTTAAATTTGGGCTGTATTTTGAGGGTGATTCTGCACACAGGACATGGTGTGAAACCTCTACTGTGCCACAGGCTCCTTTGGGTATCCCCATGTCCTTTCTCCACCTCACACACCTCATTTCCCTCCCCAGGGTGGACGCCCCAGCTCTGGCAGTGTGCAGAGGACTGGGGAGGGAGGTGGCCAAGTTGGGTGGAGCACGCAGGGGAGAGGTGCGCTGGCTGAGCTCTTGGCACTTCTCATGACAGCAGCTGCAGCATCAAAATGCACTTACATTGTAGGCCTTGACAATCAGCTCAATGATATTCTTGGAGTCTTTGTGCAAAATCTCCACTGTTGTCCCAGGAATCAAGGCGGTGAAGTTCTTAAAAAAAAAAAAAAAATCAAAGAAAATGCTGAGAGGCAGAAAGGAAAGCAGAGGGTGACGAGGGACCGACCCAGCACCAGGGACACCAGCCACACATCCTGTCCCAGCATCCCGTGGTGTACATGGCATGGTACATGGCTTGGCTCCCACAGGCAGCACGTCAACTGCTAAACAAATGCTCACGGCCATGGGACGGGGACTAGCGGCCCCAGGTCTGCTGCTGGAGGGGGCAGGACTCGGGCACTGTGCACTGGTGAGAGGCAGCACGTGTGGCAGGGAGATGCAGCAGTCCTGTCCCACCAGCACCCCTGGGAGAGGGGGTGGAGGCTGAGCTCACCCCTCCTGCTCTCCGGGGGCGAGCAGCAGCATCACCACCCTAGCAATGTACTTGCTTGTTGTTTTTGCTTGAGCCTCGAGAGCTGGAGCAGAGGTTTCCAAAAGCAGCCCCACCTGAAACACCTCCCCTGCATCTGCAGGAGCAAAGCCCCGTGGGGCAGCTGCAGACACAGGCGGGCCCTTGTGCCTCGGGTCACCTTCTCCTGGCAGAGGCGAGAGGGGGGATGGTGAGGGAGCTCAGACCGTATGTGGTGTGTCGGGGCCCTAGACTCCGGGATGGAAAATCACAGCTGGGCAGAAGCCCTGCACACAGTTAGGTAATGGGATTAAGTCACTGCACAATGGGCTGAGCAGGTTTCTGCTCTCTCATACGCTGCATGGCTGGCAGCCAACTGAACCTCAAGATTAAGCTGGAGTCTATTTTAGGTGCTCTCATGCTCACCAACATATACATCTGTTTGCTCTAAAAAGCTGTAGTGCTTTCGCTGGCAGGACCGGTGGGGAGGGATGGTGGGCTGAGCCTCGCCTGCCTGCATCTGCCTGCCCCACGTGGTCCTGCACACGCATGCTCACGGCTGCACACACCACGTGAGCTTGCAGTTGTCTCCACACCACAGTGCCAACATGAAGATTTTTTTAAGAGGCATTTAAATCTCCTCCCAGCCCAGGTGGCTCAGTGGCATTTACCTTGTACAGGACATAATGACTTTTTGTAACGGCGAAAATCAGATGGATGTTGTTTTCAGCCAGTTTCTCCCCAAGAAGCGCCAAGGAAGGATAATCCTAGGGGCACAAAAAGGGCATAAAGTCTAATGGGTAACACAGAAATGAAGACTAATCTCATAGAATCATTTCGGTGGAAAAAAACCTTTAAGATCATTGAGTCCAACCATTAACCTAACACTACCATTAGTAGTGTTTAACTACTATTAACTATTATAGTGTTTAATCACCATTAATCCATATCCCTAAGCACCTCATCTACACCTCTGTTTAATACCTCCAGGGATGGTGACTCCACCATTTCCCTTGGCAGTCTGTCCCAGTGCTTGATAATCCCTTCAATAAAGTTTTTCCTAATATCCAACCTAAACTTCCCCTGGTGCAGCTTGAAGCCATTTCCTCTTGTCCTATCACTTGTTCCTTGGGAGAAGAGACCAATCCCCACCTCTCACTTCTCTTCTCCTCCCATCATCAGAATTTGTTCCAGAAACATGGCATGCTTTATTGTGGGATGAAGTCCCTGATGTACCAGCACAATCCCAGATGAAACAGTAGAATTTCTGTCATCCCTTAAATATTTCTGCAGCACTTTTCCTTCGAATATATGACTAACAACACCAGTAGCTGCAGCAACACCTGAAACACTGGATTTCTTTCCTTCCTGTTTCTGCTTTGCCATCAGCAGACACATGTGTGTAACAGGCTGGCTGCTGTCTCCAGGGATGTGAGGCAGGGAGATCTAGAACTGCAGTAACTGGGAATATATGAATTTTCCTTCCAAAGCGAAAGCACCCATTGCCTGCTCTTTCTGCATACCGGAACCATGAAGAGATTATAATGAGCTCTTTAATTCTGCAGACTGCCCAGACAAAGAGGATGGCAGGAAGATACTGCTCTAGCTACCCATAAGTCACAAAATAATGAACCAGGACTCACTTTCAAGAGACCAGCCTGAGTGTAAAGTCCCAGGCTGCTTCTGAAGTGCTGTCCTTGGGAAAAACCACCTCGTTTACTGGCAGACTGGAAAGCTAATTGAGAGCCTCCATGACTTAAACATGGAAACACCAGGCAGCACCCCCACACCAGCTTCCCAACACAACCCCGTGTCAGTATGGGGGTTGTACTTCAGCATGCAGATGCTTGCTAGGACTACATATGTGGGTGGAAAGAGGCTTTCTCCAAGGATCCTGGCTTCCATCCAGGAACCCTTGTGAGGTAACATCCACGGAGGAACAAGAATCATAAGTAGGGCTTGTGATCTGCTAAATAAAGTACCCTTCTGCAGAAGGATGTGATAACGAGGCAGCAGGAAAGTGCTTGTTCACCCCAGAAATTTCCTCCACTGAGTTTAATTTTTTTTAGAAAAGGGGTAGATTTTTCTGTTTATTACTAAGACTTAAGTTAGTGCCATGCTCAAAGTCTATGAATAAGAGGAGTGACCTGTTGTGCTTGCTAGTGTAGCTGTACCAAGGCAAACTCGGCCTCCCCAAGGAGAAGCTGACAGTCCACTCAACATTTTAGAAAAGGGATGATGTATTTTCTGTTTCCTCCACGCTTTGCAGGCAAAATGTGATGCTGTTCAGGATACCAAATTACTTTTCCTTCCCTTGCAATGAGCCCCAAAGGAACTCGCTAAGCTCCTAACTTGTTTTTGAGCATCACAGAAACATTCGCTGTGGGGGATGCCCAAGGGGAACCACAAATTTTATTTCTGAACTGCAGCAGCAGGTGAAACGATGCTGGTTAGGGAGTGCATCTGCCAAAGGCTGCTGGAGTTGGAAGTGGCTGTCCTCCAAAGAGGTTCACCAACACTCTGAGGGCTCCAAGGGCTGGGCCCCCACATGCCTCCTCACCAGCTGGCTGGATGCGCTGTACTCGTTGGCTTCATTCAGGTGACACTGGCCATCATGGGGCTGCACCAGCCCACCCAGCTTGCCATCCAGGGCTATGTGGGGCACGTCATCTGTTGTGAAGACCAGCAGGTGAGACGCCTCCTTACGCCAACCGATCTTCTCCTGGGGGAAAACAAACCTGTGAGACAGCTGGTCTGCCCCTGCCAAGCCCACGCTTTGCCCCGTGCCCTGCACATGGGCCCAGCCACGTGCCTGTCCAGCAGCAGACTCATTAGCACTAATCAGAAGAGCATACTGCCCCTGCCCACCCATTCCTGGCAAGAAAACAAAATGTCAGGGGCCCATCTAGTGCTTCTCAATATCTCCTTCCAATGCACTTACTTAAAAAGGCATAGGGAAGTATGTGGACAGTCCACCAGACCTTCTCTACCCAGATCCAAGAATAAGAATTTCAGCTGCTTTTATAGCCAAAGCAGACCTGCCAAATTCCTCCACACATGCTTAATCTGACTTTGTTTCCTCAGCTTTGTGGAGTGGGCAAGGCAACAGCGAGAGCTGCAATGTCCCTGCTCAGCCGTTCCATCACCACCCCCTTGTAACAGGCTGTGTCTGCACCGTGACACACACCGAGGTCCCTCCGGAGCACCCATGTGCAGGCACAGGCACTCGGGGCAAGGACCACATCTTATCACCATCTTTGCATGGAGAGAGACGCAGGGATAGCTTTATTTCCAAATAAGGGAATAACATCTAGTGGATAAATGTTTCTCTCCCATGGATCTTCCCCAGATTCCTGGCTTTGCGTTGGCCCAAGAAGCAGAAATGTGTCTACACCAGCACACCAAAGCTGTTTGTTGCAATGGTAGTAGAGGGAAGCAGAGAAGCCCAAAGGAAATTTTTGGAAACCATATTGCTGCAGCACACTTCCCTGTGCTCACTGGCTGCTCCCACTGTCAGCTCATGCCAAGCCAGGTGGTCCAAGGTCCTTCCTGCCAACCATGGCAGGGAGATTTCTGTCACAGCAGAGACTGGAGCCAGAAAGCCCAATCTCCCAGAGCTTCCCCTCAGGCCAGCCACCCTGCAGCCCCACACCTTATGTCCTCACTCCCATCCAGCATCCCTCTCCCTCCAGCCCCCAGCTCGGAACAACAGAGTGCACATCTCTTGGGGAACGGATGAAGGAAAAGCTGGGAAAAGCTTCCTGATGAGAACACGGTGGCAGAGGAATATAACCAGCTCCTCCAGAGCTCAGCTTACGTAGCAAAATCTGAACTCTGCCTTGCTTTACAGTAAGATGGCAGCTGTATAAATTCTGGCTGAGCTGATTTTCCCATTGCAAACCTCCTGTGCAGTGCTTTTGGGCTGGGAGTCAGAAGGGTGTTGATAACACCCATGTTGTGACTACTGCTGAGCAGTGCTTGCACAGCACCAAGGCTCTTTCTAACATACCCCCCACAGTGGGATGGGGGCACAGGGGCTTGGGGGGAACATAACCAGGATAGCTGACCTAAACTGACCAAAGGGATGTTCCATACCACATGACATCAGCTCAACTATAAAGCTGGTACAAAGGAGAAGGAGGAGGGGGAGCTACTTGTCGGTCCTCCAGAGCAACCTCTACAAATTTTGGAGCCCTGCTTTCCAGGAAGGGGCCAGACATCACCTGCTGATGGGAAGTAGAGAATAAATCTTTGGTTTTTTTCCCTTTGCTTCCACACACAGCACTGCTTGGCTTTTGCTTTCCAATTAAACTGCCCTTGTTTTTACCCACAAGGGGTTTGTCCCTTTCGCTCTGTGGAGGAAGGAAAGGGGGAGGATAATAGAGTGGCTTGGTGGGCATCTCTTGCTCAGCCAGGGTTAACCCACCACACTAGCCCACAGACTGCCTCAGCCTGGCTGCAAAGACACTTCTATGGAAAAGGCTGGCATGGGCAGGGCAAGAGGGCAGAGCAGCAGGAAGATGTGGAACCATGGCTGCCAGCCCAACATTCGCCTGCAAGCCTGAGTCACAGCCCAAAGCCTCCTCATCTTTCCAGTAAATAGAACTCTTGCTTCAGGAACGCTAGTCTAGAGCAGATTTCTTTTTCCTTCCTATTGCAGAAGGTGTTTTTAATTTAATGGCATTTTAAAGACCCACACAATGCAAATAAGGCCATAGGAAGAAATCTTTGGCAACATGCACCCTTCTCCATGTACCAGCACATTATGGTCCACCTCAGAATGCAAGGAGGACGTTTTTACTCTGGAAGCTTGAGTCATTTCACTGAAGTGACCCCACTGGACAAAAGGCAAGATTTTCATGCTAAAATGTATTTTGTTAAGAACTTACCCAAAAGTGGTTATGACTAACAATGCATGAGGTAGTTCTTGGTCTCCTCAGCCACCAGACAGAAGCCCATCCAGTTCACTTTTCTTTGCCTATCCAAAGCTTCTATTTTTTAATTTATTTTTTTTAAATGATTGAGACTGAGAAACTCCCAAAGAGATTAGAAAGATTAATCTGAGTTTCACTTCCTTAGAAATGTGCTGTGCACAAAGAAACCGAGCTGCATCCAGCAGCAGTTATGAAGCCACCTCAGGGGTGATGCTTCTGTTCACCTGCCTGCTAAGCCCACCTTTAAACCAAGGGCTAAGCATCCCTTTGAAGACAAACTCTCCATGTCTCCAACACACACTTTCCCATATAAACAACATCAGAAATGCTTTGGTTGCTCAGTTCAGGAACTCATTTCCAAAAAGCAATGAGCACCCACAGCATCAGTGCCAGTATCCAGACACCGAGAACACTTGATGCCTCAGAGCATGGGGCCAGGGTATCTCAGGTGGGGTGGCTGAGCTGGTGCTGGTGCCACACTGAAAGAGCTGGAGCTATGGGAAAAGCTCCTGGAGAGACCAGCATGCCAAGGAGCTGCTGCATCTCACACTGCCTCTGCCAGCGGCTTCGAGGCGCTGGAAAATCCAGCTCTTCAGCACAGTTTCCACCGCGGAGCCCAGAGCAGCACTCTGCTCCGTTTAAAACAAATAACCAAAGAGGCTTTCAGTTATTTTTACTGGACTGGGATTGTTGAATGAAAAAAATCTGCACTGACGCCTGCCCCTTCATCTGGTTTTTGATCCTCATGGGATAGGAAGGATTCTGAAAGCAGGGGTGGGACCTGACCCAAAGCAGAGCAAAGTGGGAAGATGTGCCTCTGCAGGACTGGGCACGCTACAGATCCTACTCCTGTGACCAGCTGCAGTGTCTCCCATACCCCAGAAGACCAGTTTCTCCCTCCTTACAGCCAACAGTGCTGGCAAAACTGCCACAGCTGTCTCAGCACAGCCCAGCTCTCCAAGTCCTATTGAAAAGCCTGCAGAACCCTGCATCAGTGTTTCCAAGCCTGAAATAATTATCTAAATTTCTATTTTGGGCACTGTATAAAAATGTTCAATTGCCAAGACATCAACTGCCAGGAGACACCCCTGGATTCATCACTATGTCTAAAACCCCACCAGTTTCTCAGTGTGTATTTTTTTTTGAAACAAAAATCAGATACAACTGCAAGACAAGTATGTCTTGGAGCTTAAAAGCCAAAACCTCCCTCATTTGATGTAGCACTGAAAAGCACCTCAGTGTCTCCCAGATGTCTTGGCTATCTTCATGTACCAGTATCTAGCAAGCACAAATCAAAATTATCTCAAGAGACACTTTATCGCCTAATCAGCATTATCTCCTTGCTGCATCTTAGTATATAAGATCTGAAGCTTATACGTACCACCAAGCCATATGATGCTTGCACTTAAAGAATGGCAGAAAACCAAAATACTGCAAATGGAAAATGTAATTACAGAAGGTTGATTAATATTCCTGGCTTACCATTTTAGCATCAGGATAAAGGCTTATTGTCTCTGGCTCTTTCATTGCCTCCAGACTAATATTTACCATATCTTCATCTTTCAGAAAGGAGCCAAGCCCTGGGCCTGCTCGTTAGTCTATATTAGCTGTACAAACTTTCCCCACTCCTTGGGTTGAAAATCAGGCCAAAAAAATGACTTGAGTATTACAGAGCTCTTAAGACAGCTCATGCTTGATATGAATTACAGTATAAAAATACTTAGTCAACAGAGTACGTATTGTTTCTGACACCTCAGAGCTTGAAGGGGAGGAGAAGAATGTCTCCTGGAGACTGTGGATTTGAAAAAGCGAGGGTCTGCCGTGCCATGACCAGCTCTCCCCAGGACATCACCCTTGATGCCACAAACTCTACTGCCAAGTACAAAGTACTTCATGGTCAACATGCTACATCACCCCCAAGGCAGGGGATGTCCTAAGGTCATAACTGCCCTAAATCTTGGGGTTTGAATACGGTAGAGAGGGTGACAGCTGGAAAAAGCTGGAGCATGCCAGTGAGAAGCAATGGGGTACCAGAGTAGTGATGAGGAAACCCACTCCAGAAGTCCCCAGGGTATGTGTACACTGCTCTCCCTTCACTGGGGGAAAATAGTTCCTGAGTTACTAGAAACTACTGTCTGTGCAGAGTTCAGTCCCCACAAGCCTTCACTCCTCACCGCTGGATGCCAAGCACCACTCGCTGCAGTAAAGAGCATCCTCACCAGAAACAGCACTGCACTGCCTCTCCGATACGTGCCAGCTGCACCCACCCTGATGGTGCTCAGCCCCACCACAGCCCACGTCCCTGACTGATCTGGGCCATCACGTGGCTGATGCAAGGGAAATGAATCACTAAGCTCCCATTCTGGCTGTGAGGTTCAGGAGGTCAATCAGCTGGCCTAAAATTTTGGCTATTCTAAGTCTGGAGGGACACAGCCTTTGCTGCTCTTGCCTGTGACCAACAGGCAGCTGCTCCACCCACAGCACGAGGCTGCCAAGGCAGCACAAGTCACTGTGCAGCCAGTTCTCCTGCCTCGCACACCAGCCCATGGACCTTCTTTCCCACACCTGAGCTCCAATCATTAAATAACTGCTGTGGCTGCAAAAATTCTTCTGTCATGACTTGTCACATCATGCCAAGAGCCATCCAAGTGCACACCTCACCTCTGCTCACTTTTCCTACAGGATGCTCAGTCCTGAATTTAGGCGATACCAGCATTTAAATTAATCTTCTGAATTTAGAAGGGACCAGGCTGTGTATTCAAGAATGACGGTCAAAGAAACTAATCCTTACTGACAGTTTGAGACTGGCACAAATGTGCAGGAAATATCTTGCAGGTGTCCTGCCTTCCACCAGCATCTCTAAAAATGAGCCCTTGTGATAGACACCACAGTATTTCTGCACAGCAGGGAAACGCTGCCCCATTTTTGCAATAATGTGGTGGAAGGGTCACACAGTGGGTAGCACGACTGCCATTGTAGTTGAATCACCATCCCACAATGTCTCTGTTCTAACCATGAAAGCCACCTCTCCATAGGGAGAAATACTTTATGCCCACACAAGCATTGGGAGCAGCACTGTAGTTGTGCCAACAACAATATCTGTCTCAGACTGGGAGAGGGAAGATGACTGTTGGGTGGCATCAGATCCAATGGGGCAGGTTCAGTCCTGCCAAGAGCACAAAGCATAAATGAAGCCAAGCCAACCCAAGCAAGGGAAGACCTGGCTTCCCACAAGCTTGCGTCCCATGCAGATGATGCCTATCTCTGAGCTCTCAAAATCGAGACTCAGAAGAAAACACATCCAACTGAAAGGACTACATAGGTCTGGAGCAAACAAAACCCAAACTGTATGTCAAGAGGGGAAAAAGTAACAGGAGACATCCCTGGCAAGCAGGGAAGCTCAGCCACATGGCAGAGGGGAGCAAACCTTCCTTCCCTGCCACACAAAGGGACATGGAGCAACCCACCTAATTGCTCCAGAAAGATGTTCAAGCAAAGATCTCCAAAACCCCTACGGACGTGGCTAACATGGCGCCAAGGTAATGAACTCTGTCTCTAATTACTGCTAACAGTTCCAGTTTTGCTGACAGAGGGAGAGCAGGCTATCATCACCCAGAGGTGGGATCATACAGCCCCTCCCCCCCCCAAAATGGGGCAGGTATGAGTAGTAGAAACCTGCTCCAACCCTCAATGTGGGTCAGTTGCTGCAAGATGTGTTTGACACACTTCAGAAATGCACTGAGCCAACCCACGGTGCTGCTGCACACAAGTGGATATGACTCTTAGAGGATTTTGTCCCAGGTGCTCAGGGATGAGCACCTACAAGTCTAACCATGTGACGAAATCTCAGCCTTAAATTTGCATCTGCAAAAGCTCTGTTATTACCCCTTTAAATTATAAAAAAAACTCCAATATTTTCTTCATTGCCTGTTCATGTATAAAGACACGTGAAAACAATAGCCTCTACTTTTCAAAGCATTTTTCATGGTTTCTGCAAGACAAAATGTAGTAGTTACTTCCAAGAAATAGCATACTGAAACTTTACCCTGGCCTGAGAACACAGGAGAAGAAACCTCCTTCTCTTTTGCATGGATTTAAAAGCCCAAAAACCAGAGCGACTCACCTTGCACACTGCAGCCTGCAAAATGGCATCGAAACCGCCCTCCGGAGCATCTCGGTTGCGGGAAACCTTCTGCTTCTGAACTTCTTCGTTGAAACGGTCGACTTTATCCGTTAGGGACAAGAGGTGGCGGAAGCCAAAGGAAGGGACACAGCTGGGGAACAGCTTGTAACTGCAGGAGGAACAGAGGTGTGGTCAGCTGGGAGGAACCACATCAGCAGCCAAGAGCTGCAGAAGCTCCCAGCTCTACCAGGTTGGGCTCCAAACTTCTGTTCAGAGGAATGAAATATTTCCACAAGGCTTCATGTTTTGGACACTTTAATTTCTGGCTGTTTATCTACAAAACTCTACAGTAGAGCCCTTTGTTTGCTTGTTTGTTTTCTCCCAGGGTCTTCAAGCAGCTGAAGTTTCCAGGCAAACTGAACGTGTAATTCAGTCTCTCCATGGAAGGTGTGACTGGAGACACCAAACACCAGCCCACCTTGGGCCATGCAGCTCTGCAGTTTCAGTACCCATAAAGCTGTTTTCATACTTTCCCCCTTTTTTTCAATACGCATTTTCACTGTCAGCCAGTTTTCTTGGCAGTACACGACACCTTGCACCCACTGCACGTCACCGGACAGTTGCCCAACAGCAGATGCAGTAACAGCTAACACCAACTCATCCATCCTCCCACTCTCCCAGCAAGCCAGTGAGTAAACACCATCGCTGCTTTTCAGAGCTCCAGTGGAGCAGAAAGGTAGGAGTGGCA